GCTTATCCGTCAGTTCGATCACGCATTTCAGTGCCGTTCAGTGGAGCTGTGCGTCCCTCCCAACCCCCTCCCTCGTCCCCCCATCTTCTCCCCACCCCCACAGCTTTCTCGTTCCTCCTACCCCTCTCACCACTTCCATCGCGCCTCGCAGCGCTGCCCCATGCTGCTGTGCTGCCCCATGGTGCTGTGCTGCCCCATGCTGCTGTGCTGCCCCATGGTGCTGTGCTGCCCCATGGTGCTGTGCTGCCCCATGGTGCTGTGCTGCCCCATGGTGCTGTGCTGCCCCATGGTGCTGTGCTGCCCCATGGTGCTGTGCTGCCCCATGGTGCTGTGCTGCCCCATGGTGCTGTGCTGCCCCATGGTGCTGTGCTGCCCCATGGTGCTGTGCTGCCCCATGGTGCTGTGCTGCCCCATGGTGCTGTGCTGCCCCATGGTGCTGTGCTGCCCCATGGTGCTGTGCTGCCCCATGGTGCTGTGCTGCCCCATGGTGCTGTGCTGCCCCATGGTGCTGTGCTGCCCCATGGTGCTGTGCTGCCCCATGGTGCTGTTCTGCCCCATGGTGCTGTGCTGCCCCATGGTGCTGTGCTGCCCCATGGTGCTGTGCTGCCCCATGGTGCTGTGCTGCCCCATGGTGCTGTGCTGCCCCATGCTGCTGTGCTGCCCCATGCTGCTGTGCTGCCCCATGGTGCTGTGCTGCCCCATGGTGCTGTGCTGCCCCATGGTGCTGTGCTGCCCCATGCTGCTGTGCTGCCCCATGCTGCTGTGCTGCCCCATGGTGCTGTGCTGCCCCATGGTGCTGTGCTGCCCCATGGTGCTGTGCTGCCCCATGGTGCTGTGCTGCCCCATGGTGCTGTGCTGCCCCATGCTGCTGTGCTGCCCCATGCTGCTGTGCTGCCCCATGGTGCTGTGCTGCCCCATGGTGCTGTGCTGCCCCATGGTGCTGTGCTGCCCCATGGTGCTGTGCTGCCCCATGGTGCTGTGCTGCCCCATGCTGCTGTGCTGCCGGGTGGCGCCCTGCCCCCTTCATGGCGTGACTTCTTCTTGCCCCCCCCCCTCTCACCAGTTCTATCGTGCCTCGCAGCGCTGTGCAGTGGTGCTGTGCTGCCGGGTGGCATGCGTGCCCCTTTCCTGTCCTGTGTTCTCCGTCCTCCCCCTTTTTTCATGTGCCCTTCCCTTTCTCCATGTGCCTCTTGTGTCCCGCCCCTATCCCCTCACCAGTTCTAACGCGCCTCGCAGCGCTGCTCCATGGTTCTGTGCTGCTCGGTTGTTTTTTTAGCCTCTACTCCCTTCCCCCCCCCAACCCCAGTTCTGTGTATTCCCCCTCACCTGCTCTGTTTATCCTTTCCCTCTGCAGTTCTACCGCGCCTCGCAGCGCTGCGCCGTTGTGCTGTGCTGCCGGGTGGCGCCCATGCAGAAGTCTGCCGTGGCCGGCTCCAGTGACCCTCTTCTCCTTTTCCTTCTCTTTGTTGACCCTCTTCTTTTTCTCTGCAGTTCTACCGCGCCTCGCTGCGCTGTGCCGTGGTGCTGTGCTGCCGGGTGGCGCCCATGCAGAAGGCTGCTGTGGTGGCCATGGTCAAGCAGCTCTCAGGGGAATTAACCCTCGCCATTGGGGATGGTGAGTTTTTCTCAGGGGAAATAACCCTCGCTATTGGGAATGGTGATTTACTGCCAGGAAATTAATTAACCCTTGCTATTGGGGATGGTGAGTTACTTCCAGGGATTCAACCGTCGCTATTGGGCATGGTGAGTTTCTCCAAGCAACTTACCGTTGTTAAGGAGAAAATTTTAGCCCTCACTCTAGGTAATGCAAGTTATTCTTAAGGGATGTTTTTTCTCTCCTTAACCTGTTCGTTCTCCCACCCCCCCCTCGCCCCCCCCCTCTCCCTCGGTTAGTGTCATCATCAAACGGGCAATAGTTTGCCAATGATTCGAACAGCAGCGTCGCAATTTCACTCTACTCCTCCCCCTCCCCTCTCTTCCCCTTCCTTTCCCCCTCCCCAACACCAGGTGCCAACGACGTGTCGATGATGCAAACATCCACTATCAGGGTGGGCAATAGGCCCCATGCATGCAGGCAGGTCGTGGTGGCAAGTGACTTCGCCATCTCGCAGTTCCGCTCTCTTCATCTCGCAGATCCGCTCTCTTGTTAATGCCCTGCCCGTTTCAGGAACCAACGATGTGCCGATGATCCAGATGGCAGCCATAGGGTGGGCACACGGGGCCACGAGGGGCGGCAGGCGGTGATGGCGAGCGACTTGGGCGTCTCGCAGTTCCGCATTCTCCTTCTTCTTACTGTTGCTCGTGTTGCTGCCCTCTTCTTTTCAGGAGCCAACGACGTGCCAATGATCCAGACGGCAGCCATAGGGGTGGGCATACGGGGCCATGAGGGGCGGCAGGCGGTGATGGCGAGTGACTTCGCCCGCTTGCAGTTCTGCTTCCTTACTCACTCTTTTATTCTCACGGTCTTGCGCTTCTTGTCAGGTGCCAACGACGTGCCAATGATCCAGACGGCAGCCATAGGTGTCGGAATTAGAGGCCATGAAGGACGGCAGGCGGTGATGGCGAGTGACTTCGCCATCTCGCAGTTCCGCTTCCTGGCGCGCCTGCTGCTGGTGCACGGCCACTGGAACTACCACCGCATGGCCTACATGATCGTCTACAACCTCTACAAGAACACCGTCTTTGTTCTACTTCTCTTCTGGTGGGTTTCGGATGTGGTTTTTGTCTGGTATGCTTCTCTTGTTGTTCTGGTATACTCCTGTCCCGGGGCCCTTCTGTTGTGCTCTCCCACTGCAACTACCACCGCATGGCGTTCACGGCCATCTACAACCTCTACAACAACACCGTCTTCGTGCTGCTGCTCTTCCTCCTGCTTGGGGTATGCCCCTTCTGCTCGGACTAACTCAGTGCATCAAAGCTCTTCTGTGCTGCCCCTTCTTCCTTTTCCCACACCTCTTGGTGACTTTAGCGTCGACTAAAAAGTATCTTCTGTGCTGCCCTTCCTTCCTTTTCCCACACCTCTTGCGCCTCTGTTTTTCTCTCACAAACCCCAGGTACCTGCTACAAACGGCATTCTCCACCACATCAGCCATCAGTCAACTGAGCCTCATGTTCTTCTCTCTCCCCTACACCACCACCCATTCACTTTGCTCCTATGTTTCTCCTCCTTATCTCCTTCATCCCCTCCCCAGGTACCTGCTCCAGACTGCCTTCTCCACCACATCAGCCATCGGCCAGCTCTCCCTCATGTTCTTCTCCCTCACCTACACCACCATCCCCACCGTCGTCGTCGCCACCGTCGACCAAACGCTCCTCCCCACCCGCCTGCTCACCTGGCCGCAGCTCTATGGCGCCGGGCAGCGCGAGGAAACTTACAACCTGCCCGTGTTTCTGGCTGCCATGCTGGACGCCACGTGGCAGAGCCTGGTGCTGTTTCTGGTGGGGCTGGCGAGCGTGAGCAGCCTGGATGGTGACATGTCGGCGCTGGGGCAGACGTGGCTCGTGGCGCTGGTGCTGGTGGTGACGGTGCATCTTGCGATGGACATCCGACGGTGGACATGGCTCCATGGGGCGGCTATTGCGGTTTCTATACTCATTACAGTGGTCTCGCTACTGGTTATTGACTACATCCCTCTGCTGCCTGAATACGGGTGAGTATTTTTCTTCTTTTTTCGTGTTTTTGTGTATCTGATTGCCAGTCACCTCTTCCCCGTGCCTCCATGTGCCATCTATGTATTGATCACATCTGATAAGTGAGTGGCATGGCATGAGACATGGTATGTGGGGCATGGTAGGAGATGGTACCTGGAAGTGACATGGTACCGGTTACCGGTATCTGGTTGGGACGTGGCATGGTATCTGTGACATGGCATGGTATCTGTGACATGGCATGGTATCTGTGACATGGCATGGTATCTGTGACATGGCATGGTATCTGTGACATGGCATGGTATCTGTGACATGGCATGGTATCTGTGACATGGCATGGTATCTGTGGCATGGCATGGTATCTGTGACATGGCATGGTATCTGTGACATGGCATGGTATCTGTGACATGGCATGGTATCTGTGACATGGCATGGTATCTGTGACATGGCATGGTATCTGTGACATGGCATGGTATCTGTGACATGGCATCGCTGAAATGTATTCGTATTTATTGGTGGAGCTTCATGTCCCAAAACACCTGTTCTCTTGTCGCTCTTGTCTCTGTGTTTCCCCATCCTTGTCCGTTCTTTATGACCGCAGGTCGTTTCGATACGCCTTAGCCACGTCAACATTCTGGTTGGACGTGCTTCTAATGGTGGTGCTTGCAGTGCTGCCTCGCTTCTGTGTCAAGGTGGTGTACCAGAAGTGGTGGCCCACCGATATACAAATAGCGTACGAACACGAATGTGTACATATGGATCGTCGCCGTAACAAGATTTCCAACTTCTTGTTACCGTGATGTCGTGCTGAATTCAATCATTCTTTTATTCAGGCATGATTCACCTCGCCAGAAACAGCTATGGTAGTTGCTTATAGGCAGTCACATCTCACACCAAACATCCTTGCACGTAAGGGTCACTGTGAAGAACTTTCAACTACCGGCATACAGTACCGGTATGTGATCAATGTGTGCTGTGCAATGTGCAATCTTCCGTCATCATCACATAAGAGATTCCGATATCACGCCATGTTACCGGACATGCAGGCACATGCTCTGAATGGTCATTGGTCGTCATGCACCACACACACAACACAATTACACGCCGCTGTGCAGCCTCCCCATCAGGTCAGCTTGCAAGAAGCTCCTTCGCTCTTTAGCACACATTTGCCAGGCAGGCATGTGCCATACGAGGCGATGGGCATGGGCCACAGGGAGTAGGCGGCAGCAGTGCTGGAGTGACCAGACCCTACGCACAGACTGAGGTGACCCAGACTGAGGGAGCGATCACCAAGCACTACAGAGGCGCTTGCATGCACCATACACCATTGCACAGCCTACCAAATCAACATGTATGGGGATGTAAGGCACGCACTTATAAGGCTTGTAGGACACAAAGGGGCACAGTGATGAGAGCACAAGTAGCGGCAGTGGCAAAGCAGCCAGAGTGCGAGAGCACGTGGGTGTTGCACCCCGACAGCAATAAGACACCACCTACATACACACTACACGCCGCTGCACAGCCTCCCGAGCAGGTCAGCGTGCATGGGAGCCTCCAAAACGCTCTTGTCAGGCATGTAAGTGGTGACGGGCCGCACACAGGGCATAGACGGCAGCAGCAGCAGTGGCGGAGCATCCAGACTAGGAGAGTGCGTTGCCGTTGTTTTTGAGGCGCCTCAAATGTCCAGACTCGGAGAGCATGTCAGCATTGCAGCCTGCCAATAAGCCGCTGCATTACACGCCGCTGCGCAGCCTCCCGAGCAGGTCAGCGTGCATGGGAGCCTCCGGAACACACTTGTCGGGCATGAAAGCCGCGAAGGGCCGCAGCGAGTAGAACGCGGCGGTGGCGGAGTAGCCCGACTGGGAGAGCACGTGGGTGTTGCACCCCGCCAGCAGCAGCCAGTCAGCCACAATGTCCAGAAACGCCTCCCTGCTGTCCCACTCAGCAGTGCCTGCTGACGATGGTGCTCCTGCTGGCGCTGCTGCTGCTGCTGCTGCTGCTGCTCCCGCTGCTGCTGCCACGGGTGCAGCTCCTGCATCGGTTTCCATGAGCTTTCTTCCTGCTGTCAGTGATGTAGGCCCTATTGGGTGTCCACAACCAATCAACGGCTCACAGGTAACCTGTATCAACGGCTCAGATTCGGCGCTGCTGTTGCTGGGTGTGGGCACAGCACGAACGGATGTAGAGGGTGAACCCGCCGGCCACTCTGCCAGCTTCCGGACTGGGACCATATCGAGTTGGCTTGTATGGAGGAGGTTGGAGTGACGTGGCATGATGCAGATGTCACCACCTGAGAGGGCGGCAGGAAGAGAACATAGGGGTAGATGACGAGACAATGCACGGAACCTGAGAGGGCGGCAGGAAGAGCGCATTAAGGGGTAAACGACAAGGCAAAGCTGGGAACAGAAAAGTCAGTTAAACAAATCTGTAGACTCTTCAAGCAAGAAGGAGAAATTCAGTGACTTCATTTTACCAGGCAAAAAAATATGTTTCCCTACCTTGTCAGGGTATTTCCCCTTGAGCGCCAGCTTAAGTCGGGCAGAGTTGGTGACGAGCAGCCATCGCACCGAGAGGGACGGGGGCAGCCAGAACTGCTCTATGGCCTTGAGGGGGGGGAAAGAGAGGAGAAGCAGGAGAAGGAGGAGATGGGGGCGAGGAGAGTTGAAGGGAGGCTGCAGGAGCGCAGCACAGGATTCAGAGAGCACCCATCACACCGAGACAGCTGGGGGCCGCCTGAGCCGCTCAAGGGCCTTGAATAATGAGAGGAGAGGGGGAACGAGGGGGGAGAGGGACGAGAGGGGAGAGGGAGACGAGTGTTGAAAGGGACGTCAGGAGGGGTGGTGAACGGAAATGCCTCGCAGAGTGAGACCATGGGATTGACAGAAACATGAGAAGCCAAATCAAAGCGACCACCCCAAACCCTCTCTCCTCCACTTGTAACCCCCTCCATTCCCCTCCTCTCTATCGCTCTCATCTCACACACCGCTTCACCCCCCCCTCCCCGAACCTCATCGCACCTCGGCACACGCCACCCACTTCCACACTGCATGCCTCCTCCTCGGTATCCCAATCCGCCCCCCCCCTGTGCCACTCCTCTTCCCCCCACTTCCCCCCCTGTGCCCCCCTCTTCCCCCCCACTCCCCCCCCTGTGCCCCCCCTCTTTCCCCCCACTCCCCCCCGTGCCCCCCCAATCCCCCCCTGTGTCCCCCAAACCCCCCCCTGTGCCCCTCCACTCCCTCCCCGTGCCCCTCCACTCCCCCCCTGTGGCCCCCCACTCCCCACTTCCACCGCATACCTCATCGCACCTCGGCACACGCCACCCACTTCCACACTCCTTTGAGCAACGCTGTCTCCTCCTCAGTACCCAGTGTCACATTCGCTAAAGTCACATTCCCTGCTGCAACATTCCCTGTTGTGGCATTACCCTCCCCTTGCGTCTCCTCCTGCCTCGCCCTCTCCTGCCATGCCACATCAGCATCTGGAAGCCGGACATGCAATCCGACGGTTACGAGAGGTCCGGCACCCGAACCTGCTGCCGAGCCTGCCACCAGCTGCTGCTGCACTGCCTGCACTCGCTCCCATACCTCCGGGTTTGGCCTGGAAATCAACAAACCAATGGAACACGCTTGGTAAAGTGCTTACTTAGATGGAGAGAAAGAAGAAAAAGGTAGCAGCAAGAACATAACATGATACTTCAGGAGCAGTCCAACCCATTCATGCCATCGCTCAATCACCCATCCATGCCATCGCTCAATCACCCATTCATGCCATCACGCAATCACCCTCCCCATCTACCCCCACCCCTTTCTCACATACCCCCTCCCCCCCCCTTTCCCTATGCTTTCCCCCCCCTCCCCATTCCTTACTTGAACAGGAATCTCAGGATGCATCCGAAAGCGTACGGTAACCGCAGGCCCATCTCGTGTAACCGCCTCGCCCTCCCCCCCGTCCACGGGCCCGCAAGCATCCTAGTCAGCATGCCGCGATTCCACCTCACCCGTACATTCACTGCGTTCTGAGACAAGCCGCCCCCCTTGCCGCCCGCCTTGCCGCCCTCTTTGCCACCCAGAAAGAACCAATCAGGATTCGCGTTCCGATTCAGCAGATCTAGCAGTACCACCTCCCCCGGTTGAACCTCCCCCTGCCATTCCTCCCAGTGCTTCTTCTCCGATAGCTTATCGCGGGGGATGGGCGGGGCGGGGGAGAGGGGGATATCAGAGGATAGGGTCCAGTCCACCAGGGCGGGCTGGAAGGCCCAGGGGAGGCACGCGTGGCGGATAAGGAAGGCGCGGTTGTCCAACAGCGCGACAGCGAATGACGTGGCGAGGCCCACGAGTGAGTCACCGAGGCCCCCGCACTGGTCGAGCCAATCGTAGGTGAGGAAGCGGAGGGGGGGGGAAGGAGAGGAGGTGGGAGGGGAGGAGGAGTTGGTGGGAGGAGGTGGGAACGACAGCGGTGCTGCTGCTGCTGCTGCTGCTGCACTGGATGCAGTGGCACCAGTACTTGCACCCCCACCACCACCCCCACCCCCACCACCACCCCCACCCCCACCCCCACCACCACCCCCACCCCCACCACCACCCCCACCCCCACCCCACCCCCACCAGCACCAGCAGCAGCAGCAGCAGCAGCAGCAGCGGCGCGGCATGTTGAGCGGCGCTAGCAGCGCGCATGCGGGAGTGCAGGGCCGCGTAGTCGACGGCCCACGAGCCACAGAGGTCGGCAGGAAAGGCCGGGTCCAGCAGCGGGAGGAAGGCAGCGGGGGGGAGAGACGAGGCCATCTGGGGACGAGTTGGTTGTGCGGGGAGGGTCCAGGGGAGAAGGGCAGACGACAGGAGGGTGGGGAAGGGGGAAATGTGCCAAACCATGGCAGACGGGGGGGAATGCCGCCGGCGGCGCGGGAGCAAGGGTGAGCGGAGGAGAGATGAAGCGGAGAGATGAGGGTTGGCGGATGAGCACAGAGGGGTGAAAGAGGGGGGAAAGAGGGGTGACAGAGGGGGGAAACGGCACTGCCTGTGCCACGCAGCTGGCGCACTGAGCGCGATTGGAAAGCATGCTGCCCCGTACGGCTTAAGCCACCTCGATTGGAAAGCATGCTACCCCGTACGGCTAAAGCTTGCTATTACCCACGCCCATGAGCCGTGAAAGAACACTAAAAGTGCTCTTGAGAATTCTAGAAAATCCTCTCGGTGAGAGCGGGTGAAGCTACCAGCGGTTAGAGAGCACCTGGAGGCTCGTCCCCATCAGGAGCATCACGGCGACGCCGAGGAGCCATCGCCGGCGCGATTGCCGCGATGCAGCGCGCCGAGCTTGCGACCGAGCAGAGAGCATCGCATGCCGCCGACTCGCGGGCGGCTCTTCAACCTGGCGCGTCTGGACGTAGATGACTCGCCAAGGCAGTCCGCCTACTGCCACGAGAGTTGTCGGGACGTGGAATCTTGTTTTGAGGCGCCTCAAGAATGGAGTGGACGCCTGGACGAGTGGATGCATGGACAGAGCGGCGACCTGGAAGACGGTCGGGAGGGGAAACGGCGGCGTTGTTCGATAGGAATTCTGGCACAAAAATCTGATGGTCAGGAGCTCTTTGCGAGAGCTGGACGAGAGGGGAGAGAGGGACGAGAGCGTGAAAAGCGGGGAGTGGAAATGAGGGGAGGGGTGGGGTTGTGTCGAGTTTATACCCTCTGTTGACAGGTTCGATACAACTGTGTGTCGGGTAGAAGACGAGACAGAACTTCGTATCCTATACCTGCGAAATGGCCTCACATTTACGATTTCGCAAACTAGCTTTATGGGCGATGCCACGTGCCAGCCTGCATTTCCTCCGTCATCCAGCACATGCGCCAGGCGTGCACAGCATGTGCTGTGCACAGCGTCAGAGTCCATCGATGACATGCACAGCACAGCACAGCACAGCACCTGATGACGTGGCAGGCCCGATCTCGGCACATTGCATAACGAGCGCAATTCCCGCCTCCTAACATTTCAATCCTTAGGAGGTTCCAAATTCAGCATTTAGGTCCACTTTCCGGTTGGCATTTAGGCCGATTCGCCAACATTCCACCCGCCCTCTAGACCGCCTTGTTGAACGGGTAGCGAAGCTGCTGTCCTCCGTAGTACCGCGCGTAGGTACTGTGTGTGTAGTCCCGTGTGTAGTTCCTTGGGCCTTCGAATCGGCCCAGTCCCCTTCTCGCTGGCAGTTTCTCGCTCCAACGTTCGTAGTCACAGCAGGTGCCAAGAGCACCGCATGCCGCACGGTGTCTCGAAGAGAGGCGCATGCTCGCGCAATCAGCTAGTCTGTGCCGTCCCGCGCGCTCTACCCTACTGCGCGTGCTCCTTTCCCCTCTCCACTTCCGATTCACTCTCCCCGAATATTCTTCTCTCATAGGCTTCCTCGCGCCAGTTGCCGCTTTAGTCACCGCCCGATTTAGTCACAACCACGTGGCCCTGGTTCGGAAGACCAGCGCAGCAGCTTTCGAGCGTCAGGGCTTCCCGTCAGCTCAAATCACGACTCCCTTTCGCTAGTGTCACACTCTGATAGCATGGCGAGTCTTCTCGAGCGGACGGAGATCGGCGCGCTTGTATCGGAGAAGAGGGAGATTATATCGGTGCCCGACACCGCCACTGTGCTGGACGCTCTCGAGGTAACGGGCACGGCTCGATGCTGTGGATTTGTGGCCGGTGTGCTTGTATCGAAGGTCACGTATGCATTCATCTAAGGGTGCTCTATCGCATCAGTCCTTCGCGGCTGAATGGCAATCGTAAGGCGCCTCACGGCGGTTTCACTTTTCCGGAAACGGCCCGTCTGAATGGAGCGAGTAGGGAGTTCCCTTCCGCCCTACTACCCTGCTTCACCTTTACAGACTCCCCTCCCCCTCCACCACCACTCACCCCCCCCCCCCCCCCCCCCCCCCCCCTCCCTCCCTCCCCCCCCTTCCTCCCCCCACCCCCACGAGCGCACGCACTTCCCCCCTCTTTCTGTCACCCTCGTATCCCTCGCCCAGTGCGCCCAGTGAGCCCAGTGTCCGACGAAGGCGTCACTGGGCAAGTGTCAGCCCCTCGTCCGCCTACCCCCCCCTCCCCCCTTCCTCCCCCCCACCACGCACGCACCACTCCCACTCATGCTCCCACTTCTCCTCATCCCTCCACGGTCCACCACCCCTCCCCATCCCCACCTCCCCCCCATCAGCTTTATGAACGCCGACGATATCATCGCGCTGCCAGTAGCACTGTCGCTATCCTTCACCCACGCCCGCTCTCTGTCCCCCCTCCCTCCCTCCCTCCCCTCCCTCCCCTCCCTCCCTCCCTCCCCTCCCTCCCGTTCCTCCCGTTCCTCCCCTCCCTCCCTTCCTCCCCTTCCCACCCTCCCCACCGTCCCCACCGTCCCCCTCCCCACGATCTGCGGATGAACGCCTGCAACGCCATTGCGCTGCCACTACCAGCACCGCCAGGAAAGTGAGGCAGCACCACTAATGCATTCGCCCTTGCCTTTCCCCATGCCTCCTCACCTCTCCCCTGTTCCCCCTGCCTCCCATCAGCCAATGAACGGCAACAGCATCGTTGCGCTGCCAGTAGCATTGCCTTTGTCCTTCACCCATGTCCGTTTTCTCTCCCTCCCCCATTCCCCCTTTTTCCCCCCCACCTCCCTTCCCCCTCAGCTCATGGACGCCAACAGCATCATTGCGCGGCCACTAGCACTGCCCGTCCCCAATCTACCCCTTGCCGACCCACGCACCCTCCCCGTTATCCTCCCCAATCAATCAGCTGATGAACGCCAACAGCATCATTGCGCTGCCATTAGCGCTGCCTTTCCCCACCCTACCCCTTGCCTCCCCACACACCCTCCCCTTCTTCCCCCTTCCCCCCGGCAGCTAATGAACGCCAACAACATCATCGCGCTGCCAGTCGCAGCACCGCCGGGGAAGCGAGACAGTGCCACTAATGCATTCGCCCTTCTCTCTCCCCACCTCCCCCCTCCCTCCCCCCCGTCAGCTGATGAACGCCAACAACATCATCGCGCTGCCAGTAGCAGCACCGCCAGGGAAGTGGCTTGGGCTGGTGGCGCCAACATCATTGACGGGGAGAAGCAGTACATTGTGAGCTGGTAATGGGTGGCTTCTAGCGAGTCCTATTGTACGAGGTATATTGTTGCAGCGAGGTGCTGGTGGCTGGTGG